TGGATGGATGGATGGATGGATGGATGGATGGATGGATGGATGGATGGATGGATGGCTCGGCCACACAGCGGCAGGAGGTTGTATCTTCGGCGGGGGAATTTTTGAGTTCCCAAAAAATACGAGAATTCCATCTGCTAAGCTTTTTATTGTTTGAATTACCTTGTTTGTTTTGTCTGTCTATATTTTTTTGTTGTGTGTGCGTCTGTCTACTGTCTGTCTGGCAGACTGGCTGTCGTATGTATTTATGTGTGTATGTGTGTGTGTGTGTGTGTGTGTGTGTGTGTGTCTGTCTGTCTGTCTGTCTGTCTGTCTGTCTGTCTGTCTGTCTGTCTGTCTGTCTCTCTCTCTCTCTCTCTCTCTCTCTCGTAAACGCATGCGATTATTTGTTCTTTGTGAGTCCTCAAACATCAAGGCTGAAAGTATTTCTGTAGAGTAAAATACATGTGTGTGATATCGTGGATGAATCAAAGGTTCGTCGAAATATTGAAATCGAAGAAATGTTATATTAAAATCGAAGAAATCGCCATTTCCGCACGTTGTAATTTTTTATTGACTTTTTGCTTTGGGCTCAACACATTTTTAAGTCCTTTTAAAATCCCATCCTTGCGTTGATTTGACTGAAAAACCCTAATCAAAGACACACAAAATGTACATTTGCAATTTGTATTGTGTCATTTTAACGAACTTCAAGTTATCCAAAGAGCAACAGGTCGTTTCAGGGTGCCATAAATAATATTATGTCTTACTCATTCTCTTCTCTCTGTTGTTTCTGTCTATTTGTATTAATGGCGCCTTTAGTCAAATATAGTTAGGTTATCAGACCTGCATTCTTTAGACGGTGGATTTGAAGCTCAGCTCAGTCTGACATTGTGTTCCTAGGAGAAGCACTTTTCGCGAATTTTCCCATTTAGCTTGGTCCTATCGGAGACAGTCGTTAAATTTTGAGGTTCCGACTTTTAAATAAGATTACGTGGGTGTTTGGCTGGTGCTCTGGTGTGGTTTGTTTCTTCTTTCCTATCAAACACCTATCGTCCTTGTCTCTCCTTCTTCTTTTCTATGTTTGTTACTCTCTTGTAACACCTCTAATCTTCTGACGCTCATATGACCTTCTGCAGTTGCGAGCACCGTACGACCTCTACTAAAACTAAACTAAAATAAGATTACAGTGCTGCAACTCCAAGGGGAGTTGAACCAATGCAATTTCGCACAATTGTTATTTGTCTTAATTTTCTACAGCTATAAATAACCAGTATAATGTCTGTGCGTATGTATCTGCTTCTCTTTTCCCAAATAAACAATTTACCCAAACAAAGAGCAACAATTTCTTGAAGCATGATTGTCAACTTTGCAAGCTGTTCAGTTCCCTCGTAAGTTGGCTCACAATATTTCAAGTTTGACTCACCGTAACACAACTCCTTGTTCTCTCCCTCTCTCTCTCTCTCTCTCTCTGTCTCTCTGTCTCTCTGTCTCTCTCTCTCTCTCTCTCTCTCTCTCTCTCTCTCTTCAAAGGGTCATGTATTCTGTCCTATCATGGTTATAGTAGTGGCAATTTGTTTGTTTCGGTTGTTTTCGCCCCTTCTCTCTCTCT